ACAGCAATGTTTTGCTGCAAGAGCATGAGCATGAGCTTCATTTACCGCCCACGTTTGCTATTTCGTTATTGTCAGATCACCTGTACGAGATCAACAGAGAACCAACAGATTCTGCTTGGAACTAGCTTTGTGTAAGAACTGGTGATCTTGCTGATGATGGTAACATACCTCGGCAATTACGAAATCAAAATATATTTACTACAAACCACCATCGTAAATTTTGATCACTAAATCAAATTATGGCTGCTTAGAAAGACTAAAATCAAATTATAGCTGTGCTTTAATGTTTTTTTTCATAATTTTAATAGTGTATTTTAAAACAGTTACTACATAGCTAATTATATTTAAAATTTTATCAATATTAATATTGGTATTTTAATTAATAAGACAACATTTGTGATAAATTGTAGCAGAATGGTCTACATCGGATTGACGGCGATAAGTAAATAAAATGCGTTGTTGTGATGCTTGTTCCGTTGGAGGCCGAGAAATCCTCGGCTCTTCCACCAGAAATCACTGGAATGTTGCATAAAAACAAGGGTTCGTTTTGTGCTGAATTAAAATGATGTGTTAATGTTATAAAAGAGAGCTACTAATGAATTTTAAATGTGAAGGGGCCTGAGATTAAACTCATGATGTTCTGATCAGTAAGCAAAAATGGTCACTGTAAAGCCACCGAGTCTTTCATACCACATCACATCACTTATGGTTGTGTTGTTGTTGTAACAGACACAAATCTGGTACTGACGACGAGCAATTTGATCCTTAAAATGCTAAATATTAAGGGGTCTGGGATTGATCCCACGATTTTCCGCCGAGTCCGCCGAGTCCCCACTTATGATCGAGTTGATGCTATAACCATTCAAATCCAACGACAGTGCCCCTTGCACCAGAATAAGCCACTGCAACCGATGATCTTTCAAACCCGGATACATGAAGCTGCGAACAAGCACTTGGAAATTCACGAAACTCTACATTTTCTTAATTTTTCATTGTTTCGATGTGGTCTTTACGTAGGATGGGAACAAAATTTCGGGAGCCTCCCTTAGCTCAGTCGGCAAATGCGCAGCTACAAAGCAAGGCCATTCTGGAGGTGACTGAGTTTGATTCCCGGTTCGGTCTAGGTACTTTTCTGGATGGCAAATTTCTCGACTTTCCTGGGCATATAGTACGAAACTGGAACTCCGTTCATAGTGACTATGTGACTACTACTAGGTTTCAAAAAGGAAGCTCTAGGCTTATGAGGAAATATTATAAGTTGAGTTTTGGAAGCGTTGGGAGAAATCTTCCATTTTTGTAAATAAGAAGAGAAAATATCTAAACTTTTCTGCAGTCTGCTGCAAATAACACGAAGACCTCTCCCTTTAGCGGAAATGCCTGTGTCATCGGCGAACAAAGATTTGTGGCAACCCTGAGGCAAATCAGGGAGGTCCGAAGTGAAAATGTTATACAATATAGGCCCCTGCCTTAACAGGTAGTCGTTCAGATTTGGAATTTTGATAATTTACCTGCAGAGTTCTGTAGTTCTGTCAGTTAAATAATTTGGAACTAATTTCAGAATATAGAGTGGAAAATTAAACTTTTTCAATTTAGCAATCAAACCTTCATGCCAAACACTGTCGAATGCTTTTTCTATGTCTAGAAGAGCAACTCCAGTTGAGCAGCTTTCAGATTTGTTTGACCGAATTAAATTGGTAGCTCTTAAGAGTTGATGAGTAGTTGAATGCCCATGGCGAAATCCAAACTGCTCATCTGCAAAAATTGAGTTCGTATTGATGTGAAGCATCATTCTATTTAAAATTATCTTTTCAAAAAGTTTACTTATTGAAGAAAGCAAACTTATTGGACGGTAGCTAGAAGCTTCAGCTGGATTTTTATCCGGCTTTAAAATTGGAACAACTTTTGCATTTTTCCATTTATCAGGAAAGTATGCCAAATGGAAACATCTATTAAATAATTTTACCAAGAAAGACAAGGTACTCTCTGGGAGTTTTTTGATGAGGATATGGAAAATTCCATCATTACTGGAGCTTTCATATAATGAAATTTTCTAGTTATAGATCTTAATTCGTCCAAATCAGGCCCCCAGGAATCATCAAAAATATTTTCCCAAGAGAAAATATTCAGACAATCCCGAGCAACCTGATTCTCAATAGGACTAGTAAGACCCAAACTGAAATTATGGGAGCTCTCGAATTGCTTAGCAAGTTTCTGATCTTTTTCCAAATTTGTGATCAAAATTTTACCACTTTCTTTAAGGGCTGGCGTTTGAATTTTTTTTTAAATTTTTATGAGTTTCCAAAAGGGGTTGGAACTCAGGACTAATTTCGAAACATTATTTTTAAAAGTTTTGTTCCTCAGGACAGAGAATCGCTTTTTAATTTGTTTTTGCAAATTCTGCCAGATAACTTTCATGGCAGGATCGCGTGTTCTTTGATATTGTCTCCTACGGACATTTTTAAGACGGATCAAGAGCTTAAGATCGTCGTCTATTATTGAATCGAATTTAACCTCACAGTTTGGTACTGAGGCAGCTCTTGCTTCAACTATAGAAGTAGTCAAAGATTCAAGAGCATAATTAATTTCATCTTTGGTTTGCAAAGGAATGTTTGGATTGAAGCTATATTCCACAAGTGTTCGGAAAGTAAAATGGTAAATGGTAATTGAAAGTAGAGCTGTTGGAATAAGAAATTATTTCTTGGGATATTTCAAAAGTTACTGGAAAATGATCAGAACCGAAGTTAGCATGGGTAACCAATTGGCTACAAAGTTGACATGAATCAGTTAAGACCAAATCAATAGCTGAGGGATTTCTTGCTGAAGAAAAGCGTGTTGGACTGTTTGGATATTTAATAGTGTAATAACCTGCAGAACAATCATCAAACAGAATATTATCATTGGAATTGCTTTGAGCATTATTCCATGAGCGGTGTTTTGCATTAAAATCACCAATAATGAAGAATTTAAACCTGAAGGTCACCGTTGAGAAAATTCTTTTGCTGGCCTACGCATTGGAATGGCAAATAGGCAGCTATAAACGTAAGTTGTCAAAATTTTGTTTCAATAGAAACTCCCAAAGTTTCAAAAACTTTGGTTTCAAATGAAGAAAGAATTTTGTGTTTGATACGTCTATGAACAATGATGGCAAGCCACCACAGGGTCTATCAAGACGATTATTTCTATAAATGAAATAATTTGCGTCTCTTTTAACCTTATGATCAGGTTTAAGGAACGTTTCAGTTATTTGCCGTTATGAACTCTCAAAAAGTTAAATAGCTCGTCTTCATTATCTTTAAAACATTGAGCATTCCAATTTATAATATTTAATGATTTAAAATCCATTACTGAATTTAAAAGTCATGACAATATTGTTTGCAAATTTTACTCCAGTTTGAATAGCATCAAACATGGAGTTAGTTTTTAACATATCAGTAATCGTGTCAATTAATAATTTCTGTAAAAAAATTATTTTAGGAGCAGTAATGCTTCCTAAGTCAAAATTTTCAAAATTTTCAAAATTTTCAAAATTTACGTTAGAATTACGTTGGTTAGTTGCAATAGCAGCATAGGTAGCTCCATTTACTCGCTGAACATTGTTAGCAGTGAGGGGAGTAGGTATAGATGACAAATTTGAAGCAGGGGTGTTTTATTTGTACCTATGGGTACGAATGTAGAATTTGTTCCTCGTTGACCGTTAAATGTGAGAGTTTTTTTTTTATTTATTTTAATTTTCATGACATATTGTTTCAAGTTTCGAAAGCTTTAGGTTCGATACAAATACAAAACTAACGAACGATTCAATTCTTGAAACATACTATTGAGAAGGATATGATTAATGCCATTGAGCCGGGGGCCTCCTTCAAATTGGGGGCCTTAGCTTTAGCCCACCATTGCCCTACCGTTAATACTGTTAGTTATGGATAGTATGCAGAAGCACATGAAGAAGTCTTTCAAAACAATCAAATCATTCACTTTTCTGCCTTAAATTCCACACACTACAGACACTCATCCGTATTTATCAACATATTTCGTATGTGGTATGTTTAATATGTTCTCAATGAAAGACCTATATGGATTTGATATTTCTTTCAAAGTTCATACATTTCTGGAATGTTAGAAAATTAATTCAGTACGTTAAATTATGGCGAAATTCTAATACTAATTTTAGAACTTCCCTTTTTTTCATTTCAGATTCTCGAAACAATTGACCTACATAACTCACAAAGCACGTCGTTTGATGTCATTTTTATTGCAATTTTCACTCAATTTATTTCATTCATCTCGAATTAGCCATAAAGGATAAGCAGAGCATCTTTGACTTTCCCCCATAGTTTATTCCTGTATTTGCCCACAAAATCCAATCCTCAACACAGTATTAATCCCCTCTGCAATTGAATGCTCAGACCAAAAGACACAGTATCAGTAGAATAGTCCAGTCTAGAAACATGGGCTTCTAACAAAAGAAAACATCACAGTAAATCAAATTGTCTTTAACGATCACCGCCCACCACTACCTATTTGCCAGCCTCAGCCGTTTGTGGGTGAGGGACTTTTTCGTCAAAACATGTACTAAATTTGCCTTGAAAAGATGTCCTGCTGCGGTGGCTTGCCTTGTGATGGTGGTATGGAAGTGGGATATTTGCTACTCCTTCCCAATCTATGCCAAGCTGTGATTCACTTTTCGTTGTTGATGTTTGGCTGTAGGTACCTTTCATGGTACGATAATGGGATTTTTATTCGGTAATAATCAGGAGAATAGATAATTATCATTCTTGATTATCGATGTTGAATTGGGTTACCATTCGATGATTTATTTGCTATGAACCAGAATAAAATGTTTGATGATTCAAGGATAAGCAGCTCATGGTGCTTGAGGAAAGCAGTTTAGTTGTAAAACTTTTGCAGTAAAATTGCATATGTTGCTTAAGACAAAGGTCCCCACATTAGTGAATTCTATAATGTTTTTCATGTTACTCATGTACTATTCTAGACCTACTCACCTCAACGCCCGACTCAGCTTGTCGTAATTCATGTTCGGTTTGGATTTCCGCTCACCCCAACGCCTCGCCACCTCATCCGGATCGGTCAGTTTGAATTCACCGTTGGTGCCCTCCCACGTGATACAAGCGGCATTGGCGGAATCGCTCAACAGTTCCAACAGAAACTGCCACAGCTGAATTTGACCTGAACCTGAAAGTAAGAAAAATAAAAAAGAAACATGAATGAAGAATCAGTACAACCTTTCGGATTTAGCGACGGAACAAGTGGTTGACAAAACATAAATCTCGCCGCTCAACAAGCAACTAAACTTGCCGTTTTACGGCAGGGCCAACCCCTGCTGGAGGCAAAAATTAATAGCGACAGTAATGGCACGACAATACACAAAGGGCTAATTATCATAACATCATCAATAATAACACCCCCTTTGTATGGATGTAGGGATGATTGTGTATGAATGTATGCCAGCTGGTTTTTTCACGCTTTACCCTCCCACCCATTGTGAAGATTTTTTTGGGACAATTTAGAAGCAATCTCATTCCTCGAGGGCGATCACCACGAGAGGGAAAGGATCAACCGAGAGTGGATTATGATTCATCATTAACGTTCAGTTGTGCGGAACGCGTGTGATCAAAGGAATGATAAAAAAATCGCTCCCTCGTTGTCAGTTGTACAGAAAAAGAAGCAATCGTTGTGTGAATTATGATTGAGAAGCTATCAAGCAACTTTAGTTAGACAATTTCAGCTCTATTAGAAAAAAAAAAAACTTATGATTTCCAGGACTGTGGAGTCGGTGAAACATTTTCCGACTCCGAGGCAGTATATTTATGGAATATTATGGATAGGCCAATATACTAATCATGCAGATCTCAAAATTTTACTGGGTGTTTCTGGGAGAGAAATCAATTTATCAATTGATACCCACAAATGTCATGAAAGGAAGACATTTATCACTATGCTGTACGGTAATTTACGTCAATAATGTAACATACATGAGGACGATTTCGATGAATTCAGGCTCATGCACATTAAGTCCGTTAGTGACTCGATTTTGCCAACCTTTTTCTTTAAAATATGTTCTAATGTTCTACGAAACCCATGCAACAATGTAAAAACAATTAGAGATATAACGTAACAATTTGATGTTATTGTAGTAGCTGAAGCATCTAGCTTAAAATTAAATGTAATTTATTTTGAATGTGGAGCAAATAAAAACCTTGGTCATACGTTTTTTTTTTAATTTTATGGATATTCTATCCTAATTTAAAATCATGATGCGATGATCAAGAATGGGCTAAATTTACAACGGTATTATTGTTTAATTTCTATTTCTATTAATATTAGTAAAATCGGCTTTCTGCAAAATACAACTTATTAAAATAAAAAAAAGTCTTAAAATTATCTCCTAATACATCTTAGCCAAACATTATCTGCCTACACACTTAGAAATAACTAATTTTACACGTGACTGACTCCATCTTTGACATAAAAGATCAGACGTTAACAAACATGTCATGTAATATTAAGTGCTCCGAAAGCCTGAAAAATTCGTTGCTCGACGAAAAGTACGTTTGATTAAGCTATATTTAACGTTTGTTATGACTCAAATGTATGTCAAAATTGACGCTCGTATATGTCACTCTCAAAGCACTTAAATTTACATGAATTTTTCTAACTGTGGGCCGATCGCGTGTGGCCAGTTACTCTGTTTGTAGGTTTGTAAGGTATGTGATGTGTTATTTTTTCATGTAGAATCACGTTTGTGTCAGTGGTTTTAATGCGGAGGTTTTGCACGTGGTCGTGGCGGTCCGACGAAATATGAAGGAAAAATCAAACGTTTTATAACGCAATAGAGTTCGATAGAGATCGAGAAAGGTTGTATCGGTGGTTGTGATGTGGAAGAGTGGAGCATAGTCACGGCGATCCAGCGAAACGCAAAGGAGAAAAAGCGTTTTTAAAACGCAATAGAGTTCGTTCGAGATCGCTTAAAAGATCTGCAATATTTGTAACGCAATGCTCGATCCAGATCGATAATCATGGTTGAGCCATCCGATATCATTCTTTGTGAGCCATGCGAGAAGATCAATCGTTAGTGAGATAGAACTCGCTTGAAACTGCGAAAGAATTGTTTTCTCTGTTAAATATGACATATGCTTTTTTATATCATTTCATTTGAATAGCTTTATGCTACCGAACATCAATTTCGTCAATTTTGAAAATCAATACATTATATCAAAACTACGATCGCATCACTTATTCATGATGGTGAATACTGAACCTACCAACAAAATATCCATCCTGTGATCTTTGTGGTTACACAGAGGTAAACACAGTCCCCCAAACAGCAAAGGTCACTTTAATATTCCTTCCCTACTCCCACCTGATTGCAAGGACGTGGCCACCACCGTTATTGATCTTTAAATTTGGTTGGTTGGTTGTCTTTATTAAGGAGATTTTCAGCCAGACGCTGGTTCATCACCGCCTTAAATTTGGAGTTACTGAAACTTGTATAATGGGGGCCTCCCTTAGCTCAGTCGGTAAAGGCGCAGCTACAAAGCAAGACCATGCTGGAGGTGGCTGGGTTCGATTCCCGGTCCGGTCTAGGAATTTTTCGGGTTGGAAAATTTCTCGACTTCCCTGGGCATAGAAGTATGATTAGACTTGCCACACAAATCATATCAATGCAAAAATGGTACAGGCATCGAAAGCTCTTAATTAATAACTGTGGAAGTGCATCAAGAACACTAAGTTGAGAGCACGCCATAAGCTAATATGCGATATGCAATAAGCTTGAAATGCGAAGAAGAAGAAGAAGAAAGAAGAAACTTGTATAATGAAACTGAAAAAAATTTTTTTTTTTTTAAATATGCGCAGTCAGTCTAAGCTAAACTAAGATTTAGCACAACTTTGAAGGGTTCAAATTAATCCGTGGTTATTAAGGCTACTATACTATACACTCAGACAATATGAAACTCTGGGAAACTTTTGTTGTACTTACTTGAAGAGGAATAACTCATTTGCAAGTGTTCACAAATCATAGGTAAGCTGAAAACAAACCCCTTATATGATGTCAATGATTGAGGTGGAGGGGGGGGGGGTCCCAAGTTCAAATCTCATCACCGAACATGTCACAAATGACCCATGAGTGTTAAAGTGACCATAATAAAAAAAATGAAGAAAAAAAAAATGAGTGGGCCGTTCACGGTTGCATGTTGGCCAATACAACATACTTTACAGTGGTCACCAGAACGCGCACCCTCCTGCTAAACCCGAGAAGGCCGCATTCTTGAATTTATATCTATCACTTAATGTATTCAAAGTACATTCCTATTACATGGAACCAGGTGTAAAATTTGCATTACCGCACGGAAACCTCGCTGCAAATAACAAATCATCAAATACCCCCCTTTACAATAAACAGGGGCTGGGTTACCGGCGTAATGTTTTGTTTGCCAGCTTTGTATACGCAATACTGTGCGGGAAAAGGAGTGATGCAAATCACATAATCAGAAAATTATAATACCTATCTAGAGAGTGAGTGTTTTAGTATTGCTTCGGAATTACCACTTTTTTACAGCGATAATTCGGTTAGCCGTTAGGGCGATTACGGTTCCGCACAACACCTGTTTCGTTACGGAAGAGTGACATTTTTAGAACTGGAAACTTAAAATAGTTTTTCTTTTTTATTGCTGTTACCAAAGGTTTCAGCCCTTCAAGAATAAGTTATCCATAATGTCTTTAATTTGGTGCATTTTCCAAGCTATATTTAGTGCATCAATGCAGAATTGAAAAAAACGGTAAGCGTGATTGCCTCTCACCCCAAAAGGCTTGGGTTCAATCCCAGTCGGCGCCACCGGGATGTTCCAAGGCATAAAATCTCTGATCACGCCTTCCTTCGGAATGGAAGTAAACCGTTGGTCCCCGGTCTATGAGTTGATAGGTCGATATGTAGGATCCAGGTGTGGAAGCTGCCTCCCTGGCGTCGGTAGCATTGGTACACAGTACGGAAAACAAGATCGACGGAAAACAAATCAAGAAAAGAAAAAGTTCAATTCAAAATGCACCAAATTTAAATGAAACGTCATAAGAAATAATAACGAATTCCATAATTCTGAGATTCGACTGTTTTTCCAGCAAACATTTGGTTACATTCTGTACGACCCAGTGAATACAACCGAAAAAAGGACCCGTTGCCCGTCTGACACCGGTTATTTGCTTTTTCATTTGGCAGTGCAAATACTGCACCACATACCACACAAACCAAGAAATCAGGATGGAAGGGTGGTGGATATTGCTGGTAGCCAAAGGTACATACCTATCTGGTAAACATAACCTACATGCAAACGGTGTAAGGCTATGTGCGTGCACCAATATACAATGTCCAGGGGGAAAAAACTTTGGAAAGTTGAAAAGTCGTCGTGTCCCTCCAAGATTGAAATCATTTGGGGTCAACAGTACAGACATCAGCGATTACCGGTATTGCTGCGTAACGAACATTACCTATACCGTGTGCAGGGGTTAAATGGCGAAGGCAAAAAAGGTGTTTACCGAAGGAGGGTGCTAGAAAATCTCGATCAAATAATTTAAGGTTTATTGGTCTGACGACGGTGGCGTATGCGGGGTGAGTCCCGAAGGACACATAAGAATTAACTCCTGCTGGGTAGGGTTCGTGAATAAAGGTGTAATGTATTCATGATTGTATTCGATTGTTTTAAATACATATTAATAAATTTATTGTTGTTTGCAGTGGGGGAACGAACAGGCATGTGAAAATAACCGTGACGGCGTTCGGTCACGTGGCTGAGTCAATCAATGAATCAGACACTGTTGTACATTTATAGACTTTTGGGCTAAGCTGGTAACATTTGAAAAATATTGTGTAGAAGATCTCAGAGTTTTATGATAATCTTAAAGCCTTGTACAATATTTTAGAGTATTTGAAGTTGTTTTGACACAAAGCTGTGAATTGTTAAATATGTTTTTTTTTTTAAATATGTTATTCTCATATAAGACATTATATCTCATTTTTGCTTCCTCGAGAAACGTACGTCGTTGATCGACATCTGAAAGACCGTATGCCTCGGCACAGCTGAACTTACTCAAAATGTTTCGACCAACATCTGGAAGACCGTATGCCTCGGCACAGCTGAACCTACTCAAAATGTCTCGACCAACAATTAACAGGGCCTATC